CCTGCTTCACCTAGGTAAACCCTCTGTATTCTTCACATATCCTTCAATATTCACTTTATTCAGGTCGTTTTCCACTGCATGCCCTTATCTGGGCCTGTAATGACACATTTGTTTGTGTGGTTAATGTCAGTCACTTGCAAACTCTGTGAAAACAGGATCCTATCTGTGTTTGCTTACTGCAGTAGCCATGGTCAGAGAGGGGCTCAATGAATATTTGTTGACTACAAAGACCACACATCCATCCTTGACACAACTTCTATCTTGTTTCTCCTGTGCACCCCTGTTTCAGATCAGAACCCAGGCGAGACTCACGTCAAGGTCTCCAGGTGGCAGTGAGGGCTTTTCAGGGCGTCACAAAGACTCTGTACTGCAGAGCAGCTCAGAGAGTTCCCACTCAGGTCCAGCTCCCGCAGGCTTCCAGGGACTTTGAAAATAGAGAAGAACATCTGCCACCAGGAATCTGTAAACGGGCCCCAGCTGTACCTGAGGGAGAGAGAGAGAGAGGGACAGGGGAGATGTGACTGGTGTGTGTGGGGTCTTATGTGCACACTGTGCTCAACACCATTGGGTTTGGCCCCTCTGAGTGCCAGGCTGCAATGGGCAGGGCTATTGCCAGGGGTGATCAGTCTCTGGAACTGCCCCTCTGTTCCCACCACCCTGGGCTAATTGCCCCCTTCCGTGTGGTTTCTCATGGCACGGACCTTGCCATTCTACACTGCTGTACTCCTTTGGTGGGCCTGTTTCTGCCAGAGTGTGGGAAATTCTTTTGGGAAAGGGCATATATGTTCATCTTTTTTATCTGTAGTGCCCAGCACAGAGCCTGGGGATGCAGACAGTCTTCCTCTCATCAATGCACACATGCCTTTCTTCCTCTGGCACAGATACTGTGAAGTCTCAATTTCCAGAAAGGAAAGGAAGAGGTAAGAGGAGGCAACAGAAATTGGGAGAGATGGCTTAAGATGATTTTGTGATGGGATTGTTGATTATGACTATATATGCTGCTGTCCAGATTGGCTTGTGTGGGACCTATCCCCTTCCCAGGATAGCAAGAGCACAGAGAGGGTCTCCAGGAGAGAGATGTCAAAGGGGAATGTCTCAGGAGAGAACATTTACAGAATGTGGGGAGAGGATGATGGGCTTTTTTCTGGGAGTTTTAGGGTAAACTGCCTTGTATCATTTCCACCAATTTAAATTCTACATTCCGCACACTATCCAAGTGCTTTTATCCACTCCCATGGCTCAATGACTCAAATTCTATTTCAAGTTGCAAACTGCCATCTCTATTTTCTTGCCAGAAAAGAGCACCCAGTATGTCCCCCACTCCATTCATCTTTCCCTTCATGTCTGCAGAGCTGTTCCGAGGTGAGAAGAGGCTCTGGAGCCATCCTTTCACGTGGCAGTTCCACTTGTCAGTGCCTCAGTCAGTCCCCCTGCTGCAGGGAGGGGAGAAGAGGAGCTGCCACGGAGGGTTTTGTGAGGAGGTAGAGGTGTTACCGAGAATCCCTAAAATCTTAGTGCAGTTTTAGCTTTAACAGCTCTAAGACATACCATGCTGCAAAGGTACCGAAACACGTATCATTTGAAAGTTTATGTGTTTTGTAAACATTTATGTAGTTTCAGGAAATTTGAATAATACATTTTTAAACACTTTGTTTTGTTGAAACATTAGTCAACTTTAAATTTTAATCAGAGAAGCTAAAAGAAAAGCTTAAAAATTTATTAACAAGACGCACAGTGCTTAATTACAAACCAACTACCTAGAGCTGCTCATCCTTACTCTCTCGTATTGGTCCTCCTCTCCCTCCCACAGCCTGGGGCCAGTTGTCATCATTTCTTCACAGACTTGTTGTTTACAGTATCCTCTTCGCTATTCTCCCTGCCTTGCCTGGCTGACTCAATGCCTTTACAATCTCCCTGCCCACAGCAGCTGCAGCCTCTGACTTTCCCATGGGAGTCTCTCCAGACTCTATGTGTCACCATCTATTGCAAACTCTCTTACTTTGTCTTGGTGCCTCTGATTCCTCTTGCTCTCCTCTGGCCTCCACCTCTCTGCCTGCTCAGGACACTTCTGAAGGCCACCACCACTTGCAACACCTGCAGCATGGTCCTTTAAGGACCAGCTTACCTTTATAACCACAACAACTAGAAATAAATTAAGTATCTGAGAATAGAGGACTGGTCGGATATTTGTGGCAGCTTCCCTATGGGAAATGGTATGGTCGTTCAAAATGGTGTTGTATCAGGCTACTTCATAACACAGAAGAAAGTCTTGATATAAAAATAAAGAAAGAAAGCTGACTGTAAAATAAAAGGTCCAGTATGGCTCAGTTTTGCTCTAGAAATGTGCATAAAAATAAGACTAGAGGATATATACCTCACTTTATAATGAAGGTCCCTTCCACTCTGAAATCAATCAAAATATATTTTAAAAAATTACTGAGAAAAAAAGTTACTGGTGATCTCAGTCATAAAGCCACTGGGGCCAGGCTTAGTGGGAGTGCCCCAGGGCCCAGGGCGGTGGTACCAACAGAGGAGCTGGAGAGAGGGGAGGGGGAACACTCACAGAACTACATCTGAAGGGCTTTGGTCAGATAATTTGTATGATTGCTGGAGTTTTTCCTTTCCACCGTCATTCAGTTGAAGCGTCTTCATGCGATGGCAGAATTTAAAGCAGAAAGTGAACACCAGGAGCTCCATGTGAGTTTGGACACATATCCTCATTCCATAGAAATTAGACATCATTTCTGTCAGAAACCTTGTGTCCTGATTCTCATAAAAACAGTGCAGCAAGTGCCAACAATATGGCTCCAGGTTAGGATGCTTGCAGTCAACTTCCCTCTGTGCCAACTGCAGCAGATAGGAATGCCTCTTCCGTGACAGGCTATGTTTGAAGATGCTCTCCAACTCTCTCATCCCCTGATCACTCAAAAGACCAAACAGAAAACATGTGGTTGGTTCCCCAAACAGGTCACGCCTGTCATATACATCTGTCAAGTCTGTTATAGTTTTGATGTTTATAAAGCCACCACGTTTCAACTTTCTATCGCCTGAAGCATAGGACATTGCTGCAAAGAACTCCTGGAAGCACCGGTGAAGGAAGCTGTAGCTCCGAGGGGTGGGGTGCTCTTGAAGAACACCCATGTTTAAGAGAATGGGGATGTTGGCCTCATCTAACCCGTATTTCCTGAAGTCTTCGGGGCTGAATAGAGTCTTTCTTTGACACGTGCCTTTAGCGGCCAGAGAGCATAAGCCCCTCAGCTTAGCCCCAAGAGACTGAGCCTGGAGAACGTGGAAAAAGTAGTGCAGAAAGAGGGCTGTGGTCGTCTGGGAGGTCAGTGAGAGTGGTTGCTCCTGCTCCATCTGCTGCTTCAGGCAAGTGCAGACCAGCCAGGATACCAAAGGCATGAGACACATGGTGAAGAGAGCCGGGTTGGATTCAACCGAGGTAAAGGCTCTAATTGCTTGGCCCTCATCTGTGAAATATTGGAAGAAATACTCCTTCCTGGCTGACTCAGAGAATCCCAGGACCTCCACCCAGCGAGGATGCTTTAAAGAAGGAATGAGTTTTCTCAGAGCTGTGATCCGAGCTGTGATCAGCAGGGAAGCCGTGGGAAGTAAGGTTTTCTTCAGCAAACTGCCCAGCAGTGTGTGCACCTGCTGCTGCTGGCTCCAGTGTGGACAGAGCGCAGAACTCTGCTTCTTCAAGTCCCATTTTGGTTCATCTAAGTTATCAAGAATGAAGAGCAGCTGCTCTGGCTGAGAAAGGATCTGCCCAATGGGAGCA